GAGGATGTACTTCTTGTGGCAGAAGAAGTTCAAACTGCAAAAGACAGTGATAGTGCACTTCTACACTACCTTCCTCACCTCCATCACCCCCTGGTGCACAACTGCCACTGCCAAGGACAGCAGCAGACTGCAGTGTATCATTCACTCTGCTGAGAAGGTGATTGGCTGCAATCCGCCATCCCTCCAGGACCTGTACACCACAAGGACCTGTACATCACAAAGACCTATTCACCTTCAGGACCTGTATACCTCTAGGACCTGTACACTTCCAGGACCTGTATAGCTTCAGGACCTGTACACCGCCAGGACCTGTACACCTTCAGGACCTGTACATCTCCAGGACCCTGAGGCGATGGGCAAAAATACCATAATCAACTTTCATCATGTCATAATTCAAGTGGTCTGAGGCAAAACCAGATGCCTGTACCACCTCTTGGATCTGTTTGCAGATGTAGAAAATCTAGCCTGTGATGGGAGACTTTGGCTAATCAGAGCTTTTCAGAGAGAGAGAGTTACTATTGGCTGTTCTAAAGATACAGATGTTTGTGCACGTCCCTTCAGATGGATACATGTAAGTATCCGTGTGGCAGTATCAGTGAAGTGTTTCAGAGATGGAGAGGACCTGCTGTTCTTGTGTTGGTAGATTTCCCATGAACTCAGTGTATGTGGCTGTGGTATGTGGCTGTATTAATGTTGTTGACAGTTTAGCCTTCTGCTAACAGCAGCCAAAGGCTCATGGCTGTGTTGCTCGTGTTGTTTATGAATCGTATGCCTATGATTTGAGAGCTTCAGGAGGGCGGCTGTACTTTCAATCAACAGTCCTTGTATTGTGCAGAACTACATTTCACAGTTATTAGTAGGTGGATTAGTTACAGTCAAAGCTTCAGTCTCTTTAGTATTACAGTATAGTAACACAGATATCCACTTGATTGATCCAACTCTGTCACATATTAACCACATGTCATCAGTGAAATACATTTTTACCATCACTTAAATTGAAACTGTGTGAACAGTGTTTCCCCTACAATTTTTTTCAGCAGCTATGCTGTTGTGCCAGTGTCCATGAGGATGTGACGCACTTAAATAGGCAACATGTAAGCACCATTTTTATTTACTCCATTCTGTATAGGCATTTGTACATCAAAAGACTCATCTGAAAACTTAAACATAATTTAACTATCAAGATGTGTGTGTACAGGACAAATTTGAGTTTAGTCGAAGCTTGTACCTGACGTTCACTTACTAGACAAGTAAGTGAGCTAGTAATATCACTGCAGCTAAGTCAGGTAGCTTGCCTTACCCTGTGGAGCGCACTAGCTGAGCTGTAAATACTAACAGATGATCTGAACACTGGACATGCAGGTAGCAATGACAAGCAGCTAATTAATGTGACTTCCTATGAATATACTGTAGCTAACGTTACATAGCAGCCCAAAAACATACTGTTAACGCTAGCCTTTCTTGGGGAGATGTTTGCTTCTCTTCACTTTTCCAGCAGTTGGGTAAACAACATACAAGTTTTCTTGGTCTTGAGAAGCTGCAGCATCCGTTAACTGACATACTGCAGCCCATACTGTACATTTACTGCGATATTGACAACTTACTGCTAACCTTTTCCTCTGCTCTGCTCGCATTCACCACTTCACTGTCACTTTTCTGCCCCTTACTTGTTACACACTGCCCTATTTCCTAAAGGAGCTATGCTACTCTAAGGGTATCAACAATTCCAAGATAACGTTGGGTGTTGCTGTGCTCACACAGTGTGTGAGTGAAAATCATTAGTAGCATGTTGATATTAATGATTGTGTGAAATTTTAGTGGCGGTGCTCAAAATCAGGCAGCAGCAAGAGGCTGCTGAGTGAACATAGGGGAAACACTAGAAAAGAAAGAACGATTACAGCGATAAAAACTGCTGCAATATCTGTACAGAATGGCCACCTCACTTAAAAATGTAAACTTGTCCTTTACTGTGGTCGCCCAACAGACCTGACCACAGTGAAGGACAGGTTGAGACAGTGAGATACATATTTGCCTGTAAAAAGTTGATAGATTGCTGTGGTGGTCTCTTTTTTATGCTTCTAAAAGACAAGGCTTTTAAAACAGCAAGTGTTAAGTCCAAAAAATATTTGGCAATAATTTCAATATTTCTGTTTCAAAATAAGAGCCCTATCAATATAAACGGACAATCGAAATGAAACACAACAGTACATGTAATCTGCTTGCTACATCCCACCATTCTGGGTGTTGTATGAAACTATAAAAGCTAACTTTTTCCAGTGATAGCAAGCAAAGCATAACCAGCTCATGTCAGCCCCAAAGCAAACACTGGGCCAAACTTCTTATTTTACAGTCCACATCTCAAATTTTGGGTTTATGACTAAATATTCCATCAAATACCAAAGCGATTCTAATCAAAAGTAATGAATATTGTTTCCTTACCCTTTCAAGGTCATTTTGAATCTATCCATACCATTCTCCAGTCCAGTTGGCCGAGATGGGGACCTGGATAGCAGAGACTGAGCCCCAAGCCATCTAGCGCATGTTTGGTGGTACTGCCGTTTAAAAATACAGCACTATCGTTTTCTACATCTCGCAATGTTTCAAATGGTATGTCACACTCCTATGAGACTTGCTTCCTCGCGATACCACATCCAAACATAAGTACAAGAGACTTTCATCCCAGATTGGGATTTTACACCAATTCAACTTTTACTGTATTTTGAACTTTGTATATAGTATGTTTTATGTTTATTTTTCACTTTATAGCAATTTAGATTCCCTGGAAGAGATTCAGAGGCAAAGTGGAGACAAAATTATACAATTTGGGTTTTTTTTTTTTTTTACACACAATGGTAGTGCACAATGGTAGAATCTGATGATGCACAGGGTAAATGTAATGGCTAAGTGTTGCATTGTGTGCACATAGTACTCCTGTAGTGGAAATCATTTTTATTTTCTAGACAGATTTCCTTTCAAGAGGTAAAAAACAACCCTTTGGCACACTTTAGGTAATAATAATAATAATAATACATTTTATTTGGCAGCGCCTTTCACAGCACTCAAGGACACTTTACAGAAGATTAAAAACATAATAAAAATAATAGTCTGTGAATGTTCTCATTCGTCCAGGTCATAGTTATCTCTCTCTCAAATTAAATCGAAGGCAACTGGACTTGTATTTGTCTGTGGAAGACGTTTCGCCTCTTATCCAAGCGGCTTCATCAGTTCATCATGTATTGGTCTCTCTAGTCCGCACTTCTTGGTCAGACTAGTGCGGACTAGAGAGACCAATACATGATGAACTGATGAAGCCGCTTGGATAAGAGGCGAAACGTCTTCCACAGACAAATACAAGTCCAGTTGCCTTCGATTTAATTTGAGAGAGAGATAATAAAAATAATAAAAACAACAGACAGTTAAAACTGTCCAAGTGGCTATCCAAGTGTCCAAATGGAGAGTCCGCCTGGCCCCATCCCTACTATAACCTTTGTAGAATTTGTGTACTTTGTGGTACTTCTACCTAAATTGGTACAGTTGTAGTCATGAAGTTGCTAATTGAGATAAGTGGCATCCCATTGCATGGGATCATTGTTATAATGCTCTTGTCTAATTTAAAATAAATTTTAGGTGAAGAAAAAAATTTAAAATTAATTTTTCCTTTGGTTTATCAAAATTTACTCTCCTATAGTAACAGTCACGATGTTACTGACACATGGAATAAATTCTCTGAGGTCTTACCTATCCATAGTGACCAAGTTTTTGCATATGGACCTGATAGTTGTGGAGCTGTTCTTGATCTATTTTGGGTATGTCTGTCTAGGCAAGGCACACCCCCAGCATCCTTAGGTCTCAAGAGGTTAAAACTGGCCTTAGCTAGTGAGGACCTCAATGATCTATAAACTAGGAAAGATTTGTATCAGTGTCCAATCAGAGGTAACTATGAACACAAGAGTGGCATCACAAGGTACAACATCCTTCCTTAAGTAAAGCCCCTTTTCCACTGGCCAAAAAACTTGCTAAGACCTGCTAACATCAGGCTTTTGTCGACAATGGACAAGGCTGTCTACTCTGGGGGTATATATCAGCTCCGGCTCCAGCTCTGATCGACTCTAATCAAGACTGATGTAAACACAACACCCAGGTGAACATGGTAATTTCAGCCTCTTTTCCTTCTATGACACTATGATACAGACACTGTAAACACACCTGTCACCTGCCCAGCACGGTGCTGTTAAACCAGAAACACTCCAGCTACACTGCACATGGGGATGAAAGAGTGAGCTGCTGCCCCGAAAGTTTTAAAAACACAAAATCACTGAATTACCCACATTCAAAGAACCTAATCATTTTGGTTGAAAAGGGGTATGATAATAACAGGGTAACAGTCTGAAGAGGAAGGATATGTTGAACTTACCTGATAATACTTCAGGTAATTATTAAAGAGTAATAAAGGTCAGATATGACCACCACATTACGTTGTTACAATATTCACTCTAAGCAAGTCATATATTGCAAAATCAAGTCTGCTTTAGCATCTGTGTTTAAGCTAGAACATTTTAAGGAGGGTTGAGCAGGTGGTGCATCTTCCAACAATCACTTATTTTTTCTTTTCAGTTCATGTATCATTTATTTTTTTGATCAGTAAAAATCATCACGTAACACTTAGTTTTTCTTTATCTCCAAAACCCAGACAGTTCCAGTTCATCAGCTAACCGTCTTCGGCTCAGCAGAGCTTAAGTTAATCCACACAAATCATCTCAGGCAATATTATTTTCAGATTCACACAACTTCAAGGAGTTTCAAGGATGTATGGGATAGGAGTCATTAAAAATGTTCAGTGTGTTTTGTATTGAGTTCCAGGGTGGCAGGCAGAGTGTGGAGTATGTGTGGAGTATTATTGGCAGCTGATCAATATGAAGCTCAGGTTTCCGTGGACCTGAGTCCTCACTGGGGACCAGGTGTGAGGAAAGGTTGGAATATCGACCGGCGGCTGCTCTTACCTTGATGATGGCCTCCAGTTCATCTGGACACACACACGTGTGTTTCTGCAAGAAGGCTGCCTTCTCTGCTGTGATGGTGATCTTCTGGTTGTTTTCAAAGGGCTGTTCCAGCGCCCGGAACACCAGGCCCCCTGCCACCAGGTAAGCAACCACCACCACAAACACCGCCAGCACCGTCTTCAGTTTCATCATGGTGAAGGGAGCCGAGCCATCACCCACTACCTCCATGCTGGCCACCATGCTCGCGGGGCGGGAGGAAACAGAGAGCCGTGGCAGAGCGCAGCCCATCGGGTTCTGCATGGTGGCCACGCTGGCTTGCACCAGGCTGGACTGAAGCATGCCTGGCTGCACCTTCTTCGGGGGGACCAGGTTGGTCTGAACTGCCACTAGATAAAGGACAAATGAAAAACTCTGCTGCAACATCAGCATGATATTGTGCTGTTTCCTGCTGATGAACACTGACATGTAACAGGTGAACAGAAGGGACATCGTTATCAGTTCTGCCACTCGGTATAATAGATTTCCTGTGTATTATTGCTACATGAAAGTTCTCTCACACATTTTATCTCCCCACACACACACACACACACACACACACAAACACACACACACACAAACGCACACAGAGAGACCCTACCATTAACGATTGCAGAGAGAACCAAATGGAGCGTCATTATGATGCTGATGACATTCGTTACTACAAGTCTTTCTATGTAAGGCAAGAAACAGAAGTGATCTGTGGAAGCATCAGTGAAAGTCCTTCACATAGATGTGGAATTGCAGAGCTTTCCACTGTCTAGCTCATACTTCACCTGCCGTTGCCACAGGTATATTTTGTATGCTAGCAGCCTGGAGCCCACATGTGTTAACTAAACTATATGAACATGAGTTAACAATGTAAGCTTTAGTGATTTGCTTAAATTATGCTGTTGTAGTTTGCTACTCTGTCTCTACTTTGTTTCTTTTCTTAAAAATAACAAAAAGTATTTGGTTAATAGCTGTTACTGGGTCCGTAACAGTAGTAGTACCGTTACAATCCATCCCCGTGAACAGTGTATGATGCACATCAGAACACCCTGCACCTTTCATGTAAGCCTGAACATCAAACTTGACTTGCATCATTGCAGACAGAAAACAGAAAAATCACATTCACTTCCCAGATCAGCTGATCCCTCTTCTGTCTGCATGACGTGTGCTGTATGCTACAGGTAGAGGGTGTGCACCCTGATGTGTGGGCTGTATGCTACAGGCAGAGGGTGTTCAACCTGATGTGTGGGCTGTATGCTAAAGACAAAGGGTGTGCATCCTGATGTGTGTGCTGTATGCTGACTATGTTTAGACTTTTAGTCAAACAAAAGAAACAGCTTGGAGAACACTGGGCTTCAACTGTTTTCCGACATTTTATAAATCAAATAATTCATCCATTAATCAAGAATGTAACTGATGACATCATTAGTGATAAAATAATCAGAGGTTACAGCTCCTGGAGTTTCATTCCTAGAAAACCTTGGGAATCATATTTGGAGAGAAAATCTGAACTTATGTTTACTTACTACCTTTTCCAGAGCTTTAAATAGAGTCTCAGGATCTTCATCAGCAGGTGATTTTTTTGTCATTGTCAGTGATTCAGAGGTGGAAACAGCTAGAGAGGATTGTGAGACACAACTGAAAGCTCCAGAAAAAGCTTGAAAGTGGACCTTGAGTTAATAAATAATAGAAATGCTCCACCTAAAAGTAAAATAAAAATAATTCTGCCTCTAATCCCAGAGCTATTAATAAATGCAAATAAAATATTCTTAAACTTTCACATTTAAAATAGCCTTTTCTGTTGTCTCTTATGCTTTTAGTTTTGTGATGCAACAATAATATTCTGGTTTCACTTGACTTTAAGGGCACTTCACTTTGCTGTAAGAATGTCCACCTGACATATCAGTTCTTTTATAAAAAAAAAAAAATTAAAACAATAAATAAAACTGTTTTAACAAACTTAAAAGGGGCCTTGTCCTGGCAGCTAAGCCTTAACATGTTTTCAGATTTTTGTGCAGACACAACAGGTGATCCACATGCTCAGGTTTCAGAGCACTTCTCTGAGCTGTAAGTATGTCTCCAGCAGTGGAAAACACCCGCTCTGCAGCTACACTTGTATCTGGGACGCAGAAGGTATTTCTAGCTAGGTTAGACAGTAAGAGGGAAGCATCCTGGTGCTCCCTTCACCAACTGAGTGGATCCCCAGTAAGAGCCAAAGGCTCTACCTCTTTGTATTTCTTAATTTCATCCAGTGCCTGATCATGTACTGACATAGGTGAGTCCTATCTTTTGGGAAGAGAAAATGTCTCCGAATAAATCTGCAAGAGCACAGGTAGAGTCCTTTCTTCTCTTGCAGAGTACGGAAGAACCTGTTTCAACCTTTTCTTGTTCTGGTACATACTTCTGGTTCTTCTTAAATCAGAACATAAAATTCTACTAATAACCAAGTCCACATAGCATTCATAAATACACAAAATAACTCACAGTTGTATATCATTACATTATACTGCACAACCTGTCACAGCCTGCTGTGCTTCTCAGTGTTTTTCCGCTCACCCTTCCTCTGTCTCACTCTCCACTCTGCCACACCTCCTCATCAGCCTAACTGTCCTCACCTGTTGCCCCCAGCTGCACTCCATCTCCAATCAAGCCAGTACATATACATCCCTGGTTCACTTGTTCTTTGTATCCATGTGGGACTTTCCAGCATTCTTCTCCGGACTGTCTCTGCCCCGGTAAATGCCTGAGCCTTCTGTCCCTGACCACGAGTTCTGCCTGTGCACTTCCTGGTTCCCGTCTGCCTGTCCCTGTGGCTGTTTGGTGTTCTCCAGCTCCGACGTTGCAGCGGTCGTCTTGTGAGTATTTCCCTGCTGGTTTCCTGATCCTTCGTCTGACTCCGATTACCCGCCTGCCTGCTCCTTCCTGGTTCGTCTGCCCTGCTGACTGCTCCCCCGGTTCCGATCCTCCTGCCCCCTCGACTACGTCTCCAGCCTGCCCCCCAATAGTGCCTTTGCCCTATCCACGTACTCTCAGTTGTAAGTGTACTGACTATTTGCCTGCTGAGAGAATCAATAAAAGTCATTACCAACTGTTCACGTTTGGTTGTGCTGCAATTGGGTCATACCACACCCTGTTACACAACCTGCTCCACCAAGGTCAAGTGAAAAGGTAGTTTTGTTTTAAGGGTGAAAACACATGTAGTAAATTAAACATGAGGACCTTTTCTCATTAAGGTTAATTAACCCTCAACTGAGAAATCCGCGCCACCTGTGCTGCCACATTGGTATGGGTGTCCTGTCTTTTGTCTTCTTCCAAGAAGGTCAACGCTTTAAATCATGGATCTTGTGCTGCAGCCATGCACAGACAGGATCTGTCACTCACGAATCTCTTCCCAAGATCCCCAGATAGTGTTTTTAATGTCCCTCGTAACTGAGGAGTCTGTTGCTTGGACGTGAGCGCCGTGGGACAACTGGGCATGCAGCTGTGCTATAGAAAATAAGCATTAGGGGCTCTTCTCCTGACATTACGAGTGTTGCTTCGGGGCTTTAGCCTCATCTTCAGTAGAGGTGAGGTCCACTTAAGCAATTTCTTGGTATTTCTCTGTACCTCAGTGGAGAGTAATGCTGCACAAACTGCAGGCTGCTGCTCTAAGAAGCGCACCAACATATCACAGGTGCTATTCAATCTCGTAGCTACATCTGTCATGAGCTTGTGCTTGAGGAGATTAAGTAGCTTCTGCTTTTTGTTCAGGGCATTCAGGCTTGCAATTGTGCTTTTTGTAGTAATATTAAAAAAAAAAAAAAAAAAAAGCGAGAGAAATATGGTGGCATGTGAGAGTTACATATGACTGGATTGCTCTTGACGTACAGGCATCACATGTAATGGCAACTCTGTTTGCAGAAGAAATTGCTTTGGACTTTTTGCTTCATATCTGCATACAACTGGGAGACTGCAGTTTCTGTAATGAACCGATGAGTGGGGATTGTATAGCGTGGCTCACACTCATTAAGCAGTTGTCTGAAGCTTTCATTATCAACAACACTGTACGAGCGCAGGTCTTTACAGACAAAGCATAAAAGTGCATTTGTGATCTTCTGAGCCAGTTGGGATGTTGAGGGAAATTTTGAGTTGAAAAGTTGTCATGTGAGGACAGAGGTTGGTCATGTTGCTTGCAGTATTTTGCTTTGTTTCTGCACAGCTTGCACATTGCATGACTCATGTCCAACTCCAGACTTCCTGGTGTTTGCAAAATTCCAAAATGGTCATATCTTTGCCTTCAGTTTTGCCAGTGGTAGAGTTCTTCACTATTTATCCATGTTTGTTTTGAATTCAGATGTGTGCTGTTTGTCTTTGCTTCCACCTATTGGCTTTATTGTGCACTGCACCATAGGTGATGTTTCTTTTTCAAAACTGCTGTCAGAGTATTTGATGCTGTATCGATACAGTTGCATCTGCATCGATGCATGCATCAGCAAGGATTACGTCACAATGTATTGCCATATATATTTTTGGGCACAGCCCTAGTGTGAATGAGCCAGTCACAATTTCACGGGTGTAGTCTACGTGATACGCAGGTATTATGCCCTATACCGACTAAGAAAGCTCCAAAATTTTCCTATAACTTAAAAATGCCCAAGGATATGTAACAACATAGTTTTGTGACAGGACTGGCACTTCAGCAATTTGTTTCTGTAAAAAAAATGGATCAGGAGATCTGACTAGATTACAACTAGTGTAAGTTTAAATGTACAGCGGGTAGTTAGTCACTGTGATGAAGAAAACAGCAACATCAACTGTGTTCAGATAGAGCAGCAAAAAACACTACCAATAACAGAAACTCCAGAGGCTGGAGATGAGACACTACACTGACTGCAGCACATCAGCACGTGAACACTCACTAACTACTGTAACTGAAAAGACAAAGTAGAGGTAAAATCACTGTAAAAATATTCTCAGATAAAAGTACAAAGTGAGTGAGTTAAAATCTACTCTGAGTAAATGTGTTACACTTTAAAAGGGAAGGGGATAAACATGTTATATGGTGATAATATTTGATAAAACTATTAAATTAAAGAGTATCTTCAGGCTGCCAGGTGAATCAGTTCCCAGGTGAGAACAGCACCGAAAGCAATCTATTAATTCCAGTCAGGCACTTTGCAGCCTGTGTATACAACTGATAATTACTAATATACAATCAGTTGTCAGTGTATTAGTAACATGTAGCTAAACTGATGTTAATACAACTAATACAACATTCCTGCAGTAAATCCTCCTTCATGAAGGTTATAATGTTCAGTTTTTATTAGAAATTATTTTAGACAGTTGATTCAACTGTATGATCATTTTAGAGGATGTAGTGTGTATTACATTACACAGAGGCGTCTGTTATTTACCCTACCTTCAGTGATATAAATGGGGGGTACCCACAGTATACCCACTAAAATAAAGTAGACTATACCAATGCACAATTTTACATTTCATCATCTGTTCATTACATAATGTTATGATCCTGACCACTGTAGCACATTCAATGGCACTGGGATCTCTAACAAAAACCAGTTGACTGCTTTGATTTATGTAACCAATCAGTGTAATGTGGACAGAAAGCCCTCCTTCACACTGCTCACGTGCAGGTGCAACGATGAACGGCACGCGTCAGAAATAATAGAAATACTGGGGTGAGCAAATGAGGCTGTCCCATCTCTGTCGAAAGCCATGAACATGCACATCGCCTGTACAGGCGGTAACGAGCGGTAAACATGTCCTGCAGGTGAAGCTGCTGAGGGAGGACGTGACACACATGCAGGATTTGGGGGGCATCTCCCCAGCGGTGTATGAGGTAATGTTTCAGACCCTGTGTACATCTCTCCACTGCATCACACTCAAGCGGCAGACAGCCTCTGTTTACATCCTTCTGTCTATCCCCTGTCCGTCCTCTGAATCATGACCACATCAACACATGTTCCCGTCGTGTTCTGATGCGGCTGCACTAAACATCAGCGTGCAGCAGCTGCTCTTCCCTATTTCTCTGATAAGTCAAATTGTGGTCAGCATTAATGTTTCATTGGGAAGCCGCTGGAGTTGCTAGGAGCAGAAGACCAGGTAAAGGCGGTAAAGACTGTCCTACAGGAACAGTTTCACAGACTGCAGCATTTCATTCAAAACACGCAGTAATCACATGATATCAAAACCAACTTTCGTCACATCCATAGAATCTAATAGGGAAATAGAATCACAGTCTTGGGACTAACTGCAAAAGGATTTGAGACTAATTGACGGTCTAACCTGGTGCAGGGTTCGAGTTCCCTGGTTTTCTTGGATTCTCAGTCGGAAATTTCATCTTGATTCTGTGGCTCTCGCAGCTGCTACCAAGGAAAAGAAATGTGTCTATGGTCTCAGGGTCCTGTCGGTCGATTCCGTCGACTTAAACCAAGAGAGGGTGACGGACGGCGGGGAGTAACAACATATCATCCGCGCCGTCAGCTTCAGTTAGAGCGGCTGAGAGGCTGGTAGGATGCAGCTCCTTCTCTCTTCACCCACGGCGTTCAAGAGTGCACACCCACTGCTCGCCGCATCACCGTCTGCATCGTGTAGTAGTCAACATCATGGGCGCGCGCAGCGGGAGACGATGCCCATTGAAGAATCTAACGTTTACATTTTGCTTGATGAATTTTCTATTGTGTGTTTACGTCATGGTGCAGGATCCGCGGCTATACACCGTCAGTGATCAGGATCCACCTCCCTCCGACACAAAGCTGCTTCTGCTGCACTCCACGCCGCGGCGCACCTTCGTGTCGCGCGACTGCGTACTACAAGACACGACGTCAGTTTACTGAAAGATAACAGGTTGCCTGTAGGAGAGGAGAGAAGGAAGTGAAGCAAAGTGAAGAGAAGGAAAGAGGAGGGTAGTAGAAGAAAGAAAAAGAACAGGAGGGAAAGGAAATGAAAGTAAAGGCAGAGGAAAGGAAGAGAAAGAAAAGCAGAGGAAATGAAAGAAAAAGCCGGATAAAGGGTAAGCAGAGAAAGAGAAAGGAAAGGAAAGCAGAGGAAGAGAAAGGAAAGGAAGAGAAAGGAGTGCATAGGGAATTAAAGAAAGAGGATTGTTATTTGTTTTATGGCTCTTTTCCCTTACTGTTTCATCATAGTCGTCACCGAAGTCAATTATAAAACCTGTGGTGGTGCTGTCATTGAAAGGGGGTACCATCAGAAGCAGTGACTTCTAGATTCAATAGTCGTCCTGTTGAAGACTGGACATCTGAGTGTATATAAAGAAATGTATTAACTTGACTGCTATCCACAGAGTAAATGCAACATGTAATAATCATAAAGATGAAAATAATAATGGAATGAACTGTGTGACAAGTTGGCAATAGTGGGAGAGAATATGTTATGGATATACAACTAATGATCACTACGCCTACAAATGAGATTTGATGGTTAAATGTTATATTCTGACATCAACCCAATCAATGAGCAGAATGTTAAGACCGGCCTACTGTGAGTTGTGCTGTAAGCTGGAACCCAGGTGGCTGAGGTTACTTTCTGTCTTGGGCACTGTTGATTTTTTGTAGGCTTCTCTGCAGGCGCTGATGGGCAGATCTGCCTGTCTCTTCGCAAAATAAAACTCTGATGCACTTAACTTTGGCTGTAGAGGAGACTGGTGTTGACCAGAACACTCTAAGCTGTCAAAAATCTTCAAAAAGGAAAACGTGATAGAAATTAAAAGTCACATAAATTACTCTGACACACCTCTGCTGTTTTGGTTCAGTTGGTTTTGACTTTAAAATAAAAGATTGCGCATGTAGACAAAAGGAATCTTACTTGGGCGACAGGAGTTAGAGCGGGTCATCCACTAATTAGAAGGTCGGTGATTCGATCCCCAGCTCCTCCAGTCTGCGACTTAGCCATGCTTATTTTTAGACTGTCTTTATTTTATCTAATGTTTGTTCTGTGTGTTGCTGTCTTTTACCTTTTTCCCATTTTAGTCCCTACCCCCTTTTCCTCAAGAGGCTCTTGCCTTTAGCCAGGCCGCCATTTAAATAAGATGTTACCACCGCCGCACTGTCCACTTTTGTTGTGCCTAATTTTCCCCTGTCTGCCAAGCTGCCTTCACAGTCCACCCAGATGCTCCACCCTCTCTGTCCTGATTGGTGCAGTCTCCAGGCTCCTGCCAGCTCCGCCTTCAGCTCACCTGGGTTCCTGATTGGTGCGGCCTGTTTGCAGCTGGCCAATCCCAGCCGCCCAATCAGGAGCCAGGCGCTATAAAACTCCTGCCAGCTTGTCAGTCCAGGCAGCTGACTGTTAGTGGCAGCTCACCTCTTTGTTGGAAGTGTTTTTTGTGAAAAGCCAAGATAGCAGATATTGGTAGCTTGTTGTGTGTTTTGTGTTGTGTACTCCTGGTAATCTGGTAGTCTTTGAAGCCTGGAAGTGGGGTCAGGTTTAGATTTTACTAACAGACTGATTCTGCTGATTCCTCCACCTATAGAAATTACTTTTGTTATATACACTAGATGCAGGGGTGCTGTTCCTGTTGTGTTTTTGGTTCTTAGTTAGCTTTGGTAGCCAGCCTTGTTTTTCCTTTTACTTTGAATTAGTTAAATAATATTACTGATTAGCTCCTAGAGAGTCCTCCTTTTGTTATATTCTGTTTTTGCTTTGAACAGCACCCACCAGCCCCGTTCCTTGGTTTGTTTTGTCCATGTAAACCATTATTTTTATAAATTTATGTTACAATAAACAACCTCATACCTATGAACAACTGGGTTTTGTGTTGCTTCCCTTTCCCATGTGAGCCGGGTTGTAACATAAGAATTTGTTCTTAATGTCTTGCCTGGCTAAATAAAGGTAAAATAAAAATGAATAAATAATAAATGTTTCAAGGGCATTTCCTGTCTTCTTCCTTTGAACTTTTGAATTGTTAGATTTTAGAGTTTACCTATAAAGCTCGCACATCTGTCTTCCACCATGACCATAAAACATTAAATGAAACAACATGTATACCTAATGGAACTAATAATGACAGGAAGGAACAATACAAATGTGGATTTCATATTACATCCCTCAAAAATGTAAATTAAAAATCACACAAGTGGTTAACATAATACAACATCAAACAAAATAATAAACATTCCTTAAAGCTAATAAATATGGGTTACACGGCAGGCCTTTGACTATAATAGTAATGATAAAGACATTCTGGATGTCATGTAATTTGTGTTACCTTGTATGAGGGATGCTGACAGTATGGTCACATGAAAGACATTGCCTTGAAGTCTACATGTTACATTTTGACCATTCTATAAGATCTGGGGATTGATTTATTACATAGAAGTATCACATGTGTAGCGTACATACCTGGCTTGGCATCAGTCACATGCCATTAAAGAAGTTCATTGAAAGAACATGCAGAGTCATTCAGAGTTATGGTCCCAAAACTGACACTTTATTAATCTTCCCACCGTCAAGCTATCAAATTGATAGGAAACAGAGACAAAGTACCCCTCTCTCACAAACAGACCATGCTTTTAGCATGTCAGAGAGACACAGAACCAGAACAAGGGTCAAAGGGTCAGTTCCAGAGAATTAATGAATGGACACCAGGCAACTGGAGAGCATAGGCAAAATCTCCATTTTGTAACAATAAGACTAATGATATTTGATTGTTTCTTATAATGGAAAAGTAACGCCAAAGGACTGATTATCACTAAGGTGTGAATCCTGGACTCTCTGTGCCATGCAGGAATACAAACACAAACACACACACACACACACACACACACACACACTAATCTCTCTTTCTCTGTCTCTCTCTAGATAAGAGTCATAAACTACAACCCACATTCAAATCCTGAGCAGAACAGTCTTCACAGACACAGCTGTTCTGTAACTCATGTGATGTTTCTATGTAATAGGTCAATCCCAAACTTCTATCGTATAGAATGGTTGAAATGTAATGTGTAGACTTTAGACAATGTCTTTCATGTGACCATACTGTCAGCATCCTTCACACAAGGTAACACACACTACATGACATCCAGAATGTCCATATTATTACTATTACAGTCAAAGAACTCCTGTGTAATCCACATTTGTGGACTATTAGATTTAGGAAACATTTATCATGTTGAAGACCCTAACCCTAACCCTAAAGAGGGACAGAGGGAAAGGGGAGAAAGACTAGTTTGTGTGTGGGTATTCATGCGTGGCACAGCGAGGCCAGGATTCTGACCTGTCTGCCCGTCAGAGTCCCTGCATTTATATCTTCTCAGCTGTCAGGCCTGTTCCACCTGCTTACTGCCAGATGGTCCTTGAACCGCTTTTCTTTGACGTTGATGGAAAATGTCATGAGGTCAAGGACGGACATGAAGGAGAGTTCATAAGGTCAGATTTTGATGCTGCTGGAGTTACTTCATGGTATAAAAAATTGCTATAAGAAGGATGATGGTGTCTCAGATACACAATGTTCCTCTTATCACAACTCAACCAATTGGAACTTCACTGTAGAATCAGTGTCTGTCCTTGGTGGTGTGGTTCCAGCAGGATGGATTTAACCTCAGCTCTGTGCCTTAAGGTTGGACAGTGTATTTGCATTTCATAAAACAAAGCAATGATTTTTAAAACTGAAACTTTTATATTCTAAGACTTTATCAAGTGGCTGAGATGTCCATTAATCATAAAAGGTGCAACACCAGCAAACATTTGAAATGAAGCTTAGCAAATGTTCAGTCAGAAAGACTCTCTCCTTGCCCGCATTGCATCCACCAAATCAGCTTTAGCCTTAAGAGAAGCCAAGCTACTTGAGTCCCAGCTACAAGACCAAGGCGTTTCTCCTGCCCCAGGGCTCAATCTAGCTCAACTGCATGAGCTGGCAAGCCTAATCACCAGCAGCAATTCAGCCGATGCCTCACCAACTCCTGCAGAATAGCCTCCAGTTCCTGCCGAAATCCAGCGCAGCTGTAAACGCACCAGGAAGTCAGCTACTTCCTAACAAAAGAGAAGGCCATCAAGTTCGGCTCCTTCCTTTAACCTGGGTGTCTCCGTTTCTCCTGCGGCTCCTCTGTTTTCCGATGCCCTACTGGTCACTATGCATCCCTGATGAGATCAGTTCAAGCCATCGTTTTGCATCTTCAGGTGCTCGAAAATGCATCAACCTCAGCGGCCGTTGCCTGTGCCTCCAATTTTCCGCCCAGTCTTATCCCTCTGCCCGCCGTCAGCATACTCGAGCCTTCTCATCACTCTCTGGCCTCTGCCATCCCTGTGCTTCTACTAGGTAGGCCATACATCTCTCCCGCCATAAATATCTCTGCCTGCCTGATGTGTCATTTTCCCTGCTTTCCTTGTGTATTTAGTCCCTGTGCTCACTTCTCCCTTTGCGAGTCTGTCTTTGCCTGTAGTTGTGAGCGTTCCAGCCTATACCCTCTAGTTTTTCATGTTATTCAATCCTATTTCTGAACTTTACTCTGCCTCAGCCTAGCCCTTTTTGATATGGTTGCCTTTTTCTGACTGACTGCTGTGTTCCCAACCTGTTTTGGATTAAAGGACCTGATTTTTGGAAAACCTGACTGTGTTTGAGTTGTGCGTTTGGG